CCTATATGCCTCACTTATCTGTATGTCAAGTTCTTTTCCCCTGCTTGGGAAGTTTTCTGTCATCACTTCTGTGAACAGTTTTTTTATGTCATCTGCACTTTCTTCTGTTTCTTCATTGACTCCAGTCAGTCTTATGTTATTCTTCTTTGCATCATCTAGCAGCTGCTGAATTGAATTCTCGTGTTCCCTTACAGTTTTAAAGAAATTTTTCTTTTCCTGGTCACTAAATTGCAATCTTCTCTTCTATATCTGAAATTCTGTCCTCACATCAGTTCATTCTGCTGCATAGACTTTCAACGGAGTTTTTAATCTGGAAATCTGTTTGTATCTGTTTTATGGATTCCATTTGTTTCCTATGGGATTCCATCATGTTTGTGAGCTCCTCTCTAGATTTATTAATCATGTCTTGCACTATGGGCACAATCTCTGTTGTTATCTCGGAAGTTATTTCTGATTTCATTTTTTCCAGATCCTCTTTTGTTGCCAGTTCAGGGAGTCCAGGTGGTTGAGTATCATATGTTCCATCTTGTTTCCCTTTGGAGTTGTTTTAGGTGATCTGGAAGTCTGGTTTTGAAACTTGTTTACATGTCTTCTCATTTCAAATGGGGTGGGGGGCTGCTGTGCTGGGGGGCGGGGGGTATGGCGGCCCGTAAGCTTCCTCTTGTACGCTGGGAGCGGCTGACCTCTTCTGTGCTCGCGGTGGGGTATGGTGGCCCGGAAGCCTCCTCTTGTGCGCTGGGATTGGCTCACCTCCTCTGTGCTCACGGGGGTCTAATTTTCTTTTTTAAATGTTTTATCACTAGTTATCTTATATACTGTATCTGATAATTCCTAGTATCTGAAGACCTCAGGGAGTCTAAATCCTTTTTTGTTTATGAACTGTTACCAATGATAAGAAACATCATAAATCTGATACTGTTTAATAATACTGGCAAAATGGCTATTTGTAGTAGCATTAGCTTTCCCTGTACTGCGGTTATATTTAGGCTTAGGGCACATTAGGCTTTATAGCATCTGTCTGCACAAGGTGGTTCTTCCACACCCACTGGTTAGAGGTTCCCAACCCTAGGATGGAGACCAGGCAGGTATTCCACACCATATCTTTGGTCCAAGTGATTCCATTTTCTTACTTGTTTCTGTAACTTCTAATAAGAGGAGATTGAAGTTTTTGAGACACAAAACAAACTTAGGCAGCTTGGAAATGGAGACATGTACATCTCTTTGGGGAACGTTTGTGATCTCAAACTTAACAAAGCAGAGAGGTGGTACATTTCCAGCTATCATAAGGAATCTATTCGGAGGGCTCTGTATCCCAACATCTTGTATATTTTTCTGTCTTAGGTCTACAAGGAAGTCTTCACGAGGAGCAGTGAGAACCCAGCGTCGTCGACGTTCTAAGTCTCCTGTCCTTCATCCTCCAAAGTTCATACATTGCAGTACCTTAGCATCTCCTTCCAGCAGCCAGCTCAAGCATAAAAGCCAAACTGACACACCTGATGGCAGCAGTGGGCTGGGAATTTCAACCCCTAAAGAGTTCAGTGCAGCAGAAAGCTCTACATCTCTTGATGCTAATCGTACAGGGGCAGTTATTGAGCCTTTGAGAACTTCAGTTCCAAGGCTCCCATTGGAGATTAAGACCAAAGACTTTTCTGATACTACTCAAGTCTCTCAAGCAAGTCTCAAGGCCAATAATCTCTCTGACTTTCGATCTGTTTCCAAGTTAAACCAGGGCAAGCCATGTGCCTGTGTAGGCAAGGAGTGCCAGTGTAAGAGATGGCATGACATGGAAGTGTATTCCTTTTCAGGCCTGCAGAATGTCCCTCCCCTGACCCCAGAACGAATTTCCACACTTGAGGACTATTCCCAGTCACTGCACACAAGAACTCTGTCCGGCTCTCCTCGCTCCTGTTCTGAGCAAGCTCGAGTCTATGTGGATGATGTGACCATTGAGGACCTATCAGGCTACATGGAGTATTACTTGTATATCCCCAAGAAAATGTCTCACATGGCAGAAATGATGTACACCTGATAGCAAGAAGCTAACTTGTATGCTTTAAACCAATGAAGGGTTGTCAGAGATTTAGTTAATGGCAGACTTTGTGGCCACTTTGTGAGAAGACATCTCTTCTCACTGTGCTTGCAATAAAAACTTTTCTGGGCATCTCAATTAAACTTCATTCTTTAAATTTACACTATGAGTTCTTACATACTCGCCAAGGCAAGCAGATCAAAGAAAATGTCTCTCTAGCAGTATTCCCGGGGATGAAGAAACAATTACTGGAGACTGGCAGCAGTGGGTTTACAGTGAAAGCCTTTGTAAACAGCAGTTTTTCAGATCTGTTTAAGATTTGGTAACCAAGGAAAATCAAGTGTAGTTTTATAACTGGATCAAATACTTGTCATGTAGTTGCCAGTTCAAAATATTAGAAGCTGTAAGACTGATATGAACCATCTCTGATTTAACATAGGATTTGTGTCCTTAAAGGTTTCTTATATTGTTGTTGAGCCAGAAATCTGAGGTTTAGATTCAATTTGAATAAACTAGCTGGCCTTCTGTATTGTTTGACTGGCTAACCATCATTAAATAAACCCCTGCTGGTGCTATTCATCCTGAGATGTGCTTTGTGAAGTTTCTCAACGCTTTGTCAGTTGGAAGAAGGGAATACAATATTTGAAACTTTCATACATGTTCTCCCTTTCTGGCTCTTTTTTTTGGTACCGGGGATCAAACTCAGTACCTTAAGCTTGTGAGGCAGATGGCGGCACCACTGACCTCTGGCATTTTTATTTGGTTTATTTCTTGCAGTAAGTTGTAGTATATGTCTCATACTTCAGTTTCAAATGCTGTAGATGTTCATTATTTCTTTGAACTGCACAACCTCTGAAGATAATTTTTTACATGCTATATCCTAATGCATTTCCAGTCGGCCTGCCCAAAATTCTTGCCAAAGTTTTTTTTTTAAGTGGTGGTTTTCAGCTGGAGGATGAGTCCTTATCTTTTTCAGATGGTTGCAACATGAACATTGTGTATGCCACATAGTTTGTATTCACACCATCCTGAGTATGCCAACAAAATTCAGTAATAGGAAATTTATTTTATTTAGATTACAAAATAAGCCTTTACTACCTACTCCCTGAAACATCCCACTCATTTCATAGTTGATTTGTGACAGAGGGGTCTCGGGTAATTTGTACTTGGGACAGGTAGGAAGTGTAAAGACCCTTGCTAGTTTCTAGTATGGATGTAGTAGCGCTGAAGGCTGTGGTGAGAGCAAGTGAGCAAAATGCCATCATAGCTCTAAAAACTGACTTATTTCTTAGTGATAGAAGGTTACTGCTTTGTATGTCAAAGGCAGCAATTCTCAAACTTTGGTTGTCCTTTACACATACAAATTCAGCACTTTAAAGAATTAATGTGGATAATAACTCATTTGCCAGATAGGAATTACAGCTAAGAAGTTTACAAAACAACCAGTTACAAGCTAACATAAGTAACATTTTTAAAGATAGCGATTCTGAAACAAATACTAGATGGGAAGAGTGGCATTGTTTCACATTTTTGCAAGTCTGTAATGTTTGGTGTCAGAAGTTCTCATATCTGCTCCTGTATTCACTCAAGATATCACATCTCCAGCAGACTCCATTGTACACTGGAGAGAATTAAGAATGTCTTAGTGCCATGAAACTAGTTTAACTTCTCAGATTCCTTAAAAATGTCTCAGAACCCTCAGGGGTTCTTAGATCACCCTCACAAATAGAGGCCATGTAAGTTGGTTGAAAAGGTACTACCCCAACCCACACCTGCACAGCTAGCATTTTGTCTCACTTTTTTTTACTGGAGTTACTTGTAATTAAGTAATGAGCTACCTGATTCAAATACAGTTAAGATTAGGTCTTAAGTTATTAAGCCCTTTTCATTTGTTTTCAAAAAGTGGTCTGTTGACACAAAATCAGAGAATGAGGAGTGGTACTACATTCTTTTCATACAAGGTTGGTGGGGTGTAAGGATTGAAAAGATTAAAGTTCCAATGACCTAGGAACCTGTTGAAATCAACTAGGGTGAAAGTGTAGGCATTCCAGATTCATGGGGTTACATTGTGGGTTACTAATGTCTTGAATCTTTTTTTTTTTGGTACCAGGGATAGAAAACTCTGGACCTTGTGCCTGTGAGGCAGGCAGCAGAACCACTGAGCTAAATCCCCAGCCCTTCGGTGAAATCTCAGTTAAAAATTGCTCAGACCAAACTGGACCAGCTTCCATGTTAATTTCTCACATTAGAATATTTGACTCATTTGTGGATGTGATTTACTCTCAATACATACTAGAAAATTGATTCAGTTTGTGGACTGAGGAATTGTTTAAATTATATTCTGATGTTCTGAAGGATGCCATCCTGATTTCTACCTTCAGTTCATTCTTTTATTCAAATATCTCTTGAGTGTTTCCAATACACCAACACACTAGGTACCAGAAGTAGAAAAGTAAGCAGAACAATATTCCTGTCCTCGGTGGAGAAAGATGATGAACATACAAGTGGTATGGAGGGGGAAGTGACTAGGAGAAAGAGGAGGGGGTGGGATTTCTACTATTTGCGGTCACCAGTGGAGTTTCTGTGATAAAGTGGAGAAACCTTGAGGGCGTGAGCCCTGTAGGCCTTTGCAGTTTTGGCCGAAGGAAACACAAAAATTACAGCTTGAGCAGCTGTGGTCAGGGGTTCTGGTGGGGCCAGATGTGGAGGGCCTAGTGGAGTTTTAAAAGCTTTGGCTTGCAGTAGGAGTGAGGTAAAGAGCCACGTAGCAAATGAGCAGAGAAGAGAGATGACTTTGTTTGAGAAAAGATCTTGCTATGAGACCTAAGAGGTGGCCTTGAACTTACTGTGTAGCCAAGGCTGGTCTCAAACTTTTGTGTTCCTCCTGCCTCTGCCTCCTGACTGCTGGGATTACAAGATTAACCTTTTAAAGGACCATCAGCTGCCGAGTGTGGGCTAAGGGGAGGCAAGTAGAGCAGTCAGGAGGCTTGCAGTGGACCAGGCAATGGTTTTGTGGCTGGACACTTGGCAGTGCAGAAGCTATTCTGTGATCTGGAATGATTTTGAAGGTAGAGTTGAAGGGATTTACTGGTGGGTTGGATATAGGTAGGGTGCGAGAAAGGAATTAAGGATGAGCCCAAAGCTTTTAAGATTTCGGAAGGGAAATGGGGAGTTGAGTTTTGTTCTTGTGAAGTCTGAGATGCTCAAGATATGCAGAGATGTTGAGTACGTGGTTGGATAATGGTTTGGAGAGACAAATGTAGGAGTGATGAGTATGTGAATGTTTTGAAAGCCATGATACTGAAGATCACCTAGGCAGTGACGGTACATAAAGAAGTCGGAGCTGGGTGCAGTGGCCTGCAGCTGAAATCCTGGCTACTCGGGAAGCTAAGGCAGGAGAATCACTTGAGCCCATGAGTCCCAGGCCAGCCTGGACAACATAGTAATAGCTTGTTTGAAAAAAGTCAGAGGACCAAGTTCTGGACATTCCTGAGGTACAAAGTTCAGGCACTGAGAAGGAACCAGTGAAGCAAGGGCAGAACCAAGGGAGGGTCCATCCTAGAAATCAGCCAAGAAAGCCTTTCCAGAAGGGAGTCCTGTGCTTCCCGTGCTGCTGAGAAGAGAGATGAGGCACCCAGTGTGTGCAGACAGGGAAGCCAGGGCCCACCCAAGATGAGGTGCTGTTTTCTTTGGGAAGAAGAAAATTTCTACCTCAAGTGACTCAGGATTTGGAGAATGAGCCAGCCTGTGGCAAAGGCAGCTGATCCAGCCTGGAGACAAGTCTGCAGAGGTCCCTGGGAAAGGCAGCTTCTTCACCGGGGCTCAGGGGCTCAGAACCCAAGCAGACTGGGCGCAGTCCTCTTGTGCTCGGAACTTTGTTCCCTCTCCACGGGTTCCCGGGAGGCAGCCCGGTTTAAGAAGTCAAGGAGGTAACAGCGGGAGGAAGTGAACACCTCTGACCAAAACAGATCAAGAGAATGAAAAGGGGGTTTGAGAAGAAGAGACAGCGTGACAGCTACCTTTTTAAACAATTTAAAATTCATTTCAAGTTTAGTAAATCCCATTTTAAGAACTGTATTCCTAAGGAAAATCTGCTGTAATGCACATATGGCCACAAGAGGGCCCCCTTTCCTTGAAATGGACAAAATTAAAGTAGGGACAAAGTAAGCGACGACTCCGCTGGGCAGGTAAGGCCAGGGCCAAACTTGGCAATCCGAATTTTACCTAAACGTTTACAAAAATCAATTGCTTGTGGGGTCAGAACTGGGATTCGAACATATACGTAACTCCAAAACTACCTAGCCTACACAGCCTGTAGGAAATAAATGGATCTGAGATTTATAAATGCTATTAAGACACTTGTTACTTGAAAACTTAAGTAGTTCTTAACCAGGGACAAAATTTATCTGGGGAGTGTTTAGAAAGAGTGCAGTGACCCAAGTCTTCTCCCAGGACAGTCTAATCACACAATCTTGAGTGGGGCTCTGGACTCCATTAGGGTTTACATTCTCTACGTGAGTCTTATGTGTACCCACCCCGAGGGACCTGTCACAAGGAGCTGCTGTGGATCAATGGCGGCTACATTTACATGGCTGGAGCTGCTCTGAGGCCTTAGAACACCATTACAGGGCTTGGCCTGGCGCTTAGTTACCTGGATGGAGAATTCAGGAGATTCTTACTCCCTTCCGGTTGGAATGCTCTTCCATCTTCCCTTGACAGCAAAGTTGCTGCTCCAAGTCCTCAGGGACCAGTGGGAATGCAGAACGCCCTGGAGGCAGCACGGAGGTGTCCTTAGAGGCGATTTTGGGGAGGAAATTGTTGTCCACCTGGTCGAGGGGCAGGCTGCTGGGCTGAATGATTGTTCTTTCTCCACTCTGCAGCGAGGGAGGCTGAGGTCTCCTCCAGGTGGTGAAGTGCTGACATGGAAATGGGGCTGTGCACATGAAAGAACCAAGTCGTAAGAAATGGTGATCAGTGGGGCAGAAAGGAGAGAACATTTTCTGCCCATTTCTGAAATAAGAACAAAACTGCCAGGACTTTACCTGACCTTATCACCATGGGATTTAGAAGTATATCTGATACATCCGAAGTCAGATAATGGTTTAATGGTCTCTAGTGGCTTTGCTTAGTTTGGTGATTTCTACCCCAACCCATTCACCTCTCTCTCTCTCTCTCTCTCTGTCTCTCTCTCTCTCTCTCTCTCTCTCACACACACACACACACACACACACACACACACACACACACACGGCGCTTCCTAATCTTGGAGGCTCTTATCTTTTCCAGGGGTACTCTGTACCGTTACCCCTGGGCTTGGTTGGAATTTACAATCATTACCCCAGACACAGCTTTTGGTTGCAGAGATTTATTTTTTCTTTCTACTGGAGTTGAGTGGGAACCTGAGCACTGGGAATCCACCCAGGCCCTTAGCTCTTGACCCTGTCCCAAGAGCTCTCTGACGCCTGGCCTTGGGCTCTGAGGCCACTAGAGCAGAGAGAGTTTGGAAAGGAAGTTTTAACAAACGCCATGATCCTTAATCCTTGAGTATTTATTTCTTAGTGGAGCTCATTCCAACACAACCTGCAACTCTGTGTCTCAGGAGTAAAGAGAGGACAGCCTCCTCTCCTTCAGGGTGGTGTTTGTCCCGTGGGGGGCAAGGAAGCAAGTAGACCCTGCTTTTAGCCCTGAATGGGATTGAGAGGGCCTGGGGCTGTGCATGAGCATTGTCTGCATCTTCCACACTCTTGTGGCCAGGACCTCACCTCTCTTCCTGAGTCTCCCTCTGCAGTCAGAAGCACATGGGAAACCGTCCCCCGTTGCTTTCTCTTTAGGTCACCCACTTCCTTGATGGCGTTGGCAGTGGTGCTGGAGCCCCAGGGCCTGTTAGGGGGTGCCAGTGGTGGGGCGTCTGAGGTTTGCCAGCCTGTTGTGCTGGGGGAGTTGAAGTGTTCCAGGGCTGGGGACTTGGTGTCCCCTCCCTCCTCCCTGTCCTGAGCAGAGGACTCCAAGAGCAGAAGGCAGCTTCTACCCATGGGAAGGGAAGGCACGAAGGTGGCCTGGGCTGTCTGCACTCAGTTCTTAGCTCCCTTCCTCTGCCCTCCAGCCCCTGCCTGGGTCTGCAGCCACAGCTCGGTTTGAAACACCCCTCCCTCCTGCTCTGAAGGAGGCTAGGCTGGCCAGGGGGTTATTTTGGGAGCAGCTTCTGAGATCCAATGGCCTTGTTAGGGCAACACTGACCTTTCTGTCATAGGAGGAGGGCAGGGCTGGAGAAGGGGCGGGGCAGCGGCCGGCGATCACAGCCTGCACACCCACGGGGGTGGAGGAGGAGGGGGCCAGTGGCTGCCTTGGGGAATTCCGCCTGGGCTGGGGCTGCCACGGGGGGCTGCCCCTCTTTGATACTGGGACCCCCCTACCCAACACTCTTCACTGTGCTTCTTAAAGGGGTCAGAGCCTTTTCCCTCCGACACCATGGAAGCCAGACTTGGGGCGTTTTGTGGGGACTTGAGTCTTCGCCGCCTGCTTCCTTCGCCAGTGGCAGCCTCCCTCTGGCTGACTGAAGGGGCCCCCCGGCATGGCTCTAACCAGCGCCCCCAGTGCTGACCTGGCTCCTGGGCTCCTTCAGCCTCTGCCAGCCTCTTGCTTCCCTCCTCCAGGGGCGAGGTGGTGAGTCTGGGGCTCAGACCTGCGGGTGCCTGGAGAGTGTCTGTCAGTTTCCCCGACAGCCCTGCACCCAAGCTGGAGGACGGGGAGGTTGTGGGGGGCGAGGATGAGATGAGCGGGGGCCGCTTTGACTTTGACGATGGCGGCGCGTACTGTGGGGGCTGGGCGGGGGGCAAGGCCCACGGGCACGGCCTGTGCACCGGCCCCAAGGGCCAGGGCGAGTACTCGGGCTCCTGGAACTTTGGCTTTGAAGTGGCGGGCGTCTACACCTGGCCCAGCGGAAACACCTTCGAGGGGTACTGGAGCCAGGGCAAACGCCACGGGCTGGGCATAGAGACCAAGGGGCGCTGGCTCTACAAGGGGGAGTGGACGCATGGCTTCAAGGGACGCTATGGAACCCGGCAGAGCTCCAGCAGCGGTGCCAAGTACGAGGGCACTTGGAACAATGGTCTGCAGGACGGGTATGGCACCGAGACCTATGCAGACGGAGGTGAGCCCAGCCTGGGGCCTGCAAGGCTGGGGGGGGGGCGAGGGAGGGGCCCAGGGGCAAGGGCGGAGGGCAGGGCAGCTGGCACAGAAGCCCATAGGCTACGATGTGATTTGCTGTGTGGCTTCGGGCAAGCTGTTCTACCTCTCTGAACATCCATTTTCTTGTCAGCAAAGACAGGGCCAGTAAAGGGCAGGAGCGCTTAGCACAAGGTCTGCCATACCCTACACACCCTAGACACACTCAGCGAAATGTAACTGCTGCTGCTTGCATGCTCGGTTTATAAACAGCCGTGGAATAGACTGTAGCTTGTATTCCAGCAGAATTTGGGTCTGGTTTCACTTTGCCATTAAAATTGTTTGCAAGTGATAGATCAAGAGGCACGTTCATCCATTGGCCCACGCATCCACCCACCCACTCACACGTGCCCTCTGTCCTTCAATGCACATTTCCCTGGTACTTCCCATTTGCCAGGCACGGTACCAGGAGCCTCACACAGTCCGGGCTTCAAAGATAAGCCTGCAGGTGGTACACACAGACACGTGCAGAGCGCTGTGGCAGAAAAGCGCAGCCCGGGTCGGGGAGGGAATGCTCTGAAGGAAGTAAGACTTGGGTGAGATCTTGACGTGAAGTGTGATTGTGAGAGTGGCAGTTAGGGGCGGTCTCCGTCCCAGCAGAGAGAGGAGTTTGTACAGAGGCTTGGGGTGTGAGCTTGATCAGGGGTTAAGGAAACGTAGAGCTTTCTAGAGCAAAGCCATCCTGGAAAGTGGCAGGGCAGTCATAACCTCACCCACTGGTGAGACTCGGGACATGACACTTACCCGGCCCTCGATTTCTTCATCTATAAAAATGGGGTGTTTAGGGGCCGGGGATTTGCTCAGTGGTTTCGCCACCTGCTGTGCAAGTGCAAGGACCCGAGTTCGATCCCCAGTACAAAAAAAAAAGGGGGGTGTTTTAGGGCAGGAATGCTGCTCCCAATGTGGCCAGTAGAAAGGGACCAGTGGCTTCGCCTGCCCTCCAGATAGAAATGCAAATCGAGAGGCCCCACCCAGACTTTTTAAATCAGTCTCTGAGTGAGTGCCCAGAAGAGTGATTTAACAAGCTCATCAGGCGGATCTTAACATGTAAAAGTTTGGGATTTTGTGGTTTTTTTGGTACTGGGGATCAAACTCCGGACATTGTGCTTGCTAGGCAGGTAGCAGAACCACTGAGCTAAATCCCCGGCCCAACATGTTAAAGTTTTTAAAGTATTGCTTTTGGGGTATAGTGACTCATGCTTATAATCTGGGATACTGGGGAGGCTGAGGCAGGAGAATGACTTAGGCCTAGGAGTTTGAATCCCATCTAGGCAACAGAGGGAGACCCAGTCTCAGAAAAAGAAAAAGAAAAAGAAAAATGGAGGGAGGCTGCGTGTGTGGTTCAGTGGCAGAGTATTTGCCTAGTGTGAGTGAGGTTCTGGGTTCCATCTCTAGCACCACAACAAAGAAAAGTATTTATTTATTTTGATTTTTTGAGTCAGGGCTCACTATGTAGCCCAGGCTGACCTCGGACTCTATGTGATCCTCCTGCCTCTGCTTCCCCAGTGCTGGGATTACAAGTGTGTGCCACCACGCTCGGCAGAAAAGTATTGATTTAAATCAGGGGCTAGAAAGCTATAGATCATGGGCCAAATGGGCCTGCTGCCTGTTCTGTACAGCTTAGGAGCAGAAAGTGGCTTTACATTTTTAATTGTTTGGGGGAAAAAAAGCAAAAGAAAAGCAATTTTTGATGACATGTGAAATTTATGTGGTAGTCCCTATGTGATGTCCTCCATTTGGCCTGTGATCCTACAAAGCCTAAGCATTACCTTCTGACTCTTCACAGAAACAGTTTGTTAGTCCTTGGGAGTCTGAGGCAGGAGGATCATGAGTTCTAGGCCAGCCTGGGCTACATAGGGAGTTTGAGGTCAGCCTGAGCTACACAGCTAAAGCTTGTCTCAAAAAAATGTAAAACAGAAATGTTGCTCCTGCTTTTTTTTTTTTTTTTTTTTGGTACCAGGGATCAAAATGGTGACCTTGCGCTTGTGAGGTGGGTGGCAGAACCACTGAGCTACATCCCCGGCCCAAGTTGGTCCTGCTTTTAACGGTCATTAGATTCCTTCTGGCACAGAATAATTCTATGGCATCTTCCTACTGTGTTGCATGACTGAAAAAAATTAAAAAATAATTAATTGGCTAATTAAAAATAATTCTATTGGGCAATAGAAGGAATTTGTAAAACATTATTTTTGGTCACTAGTCCCCCTCTTTATAGTAGAATATAGGAAGTGGGCATTCTGGGAATGGGGGAAGGACAGGAAGAAGCATGAGAAGCCCTCAGCCTGCAAGATCTGCTCAAGCCAAGGCCCTTGGGACCCTGGAGAGCAGCCTGAGGTGAGGGTGGGCTGGAGTCTGGGGGAGGACTTGCCCTCTGTGTGTCTGAATGTTGGTGAGGTTGTGTCCCTGAGTTTCTGTGGCAGCTACGGAGCACTGGCTGGAGTTGGACAGTGCTAAGGATAAATTCTGGCTCTACCGCTTGGTAGTTTGGTGACCTTGAGCCTCTTGCTGACCTTCTCCAATGTGGTACCATTCTGCTCAGCAGGTGGTTATGCTGGGCAGTGTGCTATGCACTGGAGACACAGCAGAGAGCGAGCCTCAGTGGCAGGTGGTAGGCCTGCCCGGTGTTCCTTCCCTTCTCCTTTCTCTCCAAACCAAGGATAAACCAACACACACTCATGTGAGACCAGGGACACACATTGCTGGCCTGACATGAGCATGGGAACCAGTGGGCTGATCTCCTAAAATGTCTAAAAGGAGGAAAACCCATTCACTTACTTACTCACTCACTCACACACACAGCATGTGCTACTGAGACCTACTCTGTTCCAGGCACTGTCCCATAGTAAGGTCTGAGTATAACCTCCTGTCTAGTGGAAAAGAGAGAAATAAACCAGAAAACACTCATGCACAATATGATAAAAAATATAGTGAATGTGAAAAATGTTTTAAAATTTATTATGGTAAAAGGCACATTGCCATTTGTCCCCCTCAAAACATCTCTCATACACTTATCATACACTCATCCCATTGTTCTTGTCACTTTCTGAAGCAGTTTTAGAAGTCCTTTCACATGAGTGTCTTTAGTTGCACTGTTGTGGCTGCTTTGTTGTCCTGAATCAGTTCCAAATGTTTACCTTTCATGGTCACTTTGACTTTGGGGAAGAGCCAGAAGTTGTATGGTGCCAGATTGGGTGGTTAGGTGGGGGAGGTCGCACAGTAATGTTTTCATGAGCCTGGCTTTTTGTTAGATGTCACTTAGCAGAATTCACCATATTTTTGATCAACCCGTGTAAAGATACCCAGGAGAGAGGACTTCTAGAACTGCTTCAGAAAGTGACAAGTAGCCAGGCATGGTGGCACATGCTTGTAATTCCATCACTCAGGAGGCTGAGGCAGAAGGATCCGTGAGTTCAAGGCCAGCCTGAATTACATAGTGATACCTTGTCTCAAAAACAAAACAAAACAAAAAAAAACACCGAAAGTGACAAGAATGATGGAATAAGTGTGTTCAGGGCGAGAAGCAGTATTTTGACTTCATTATTTTTTTTTTCTGGTACCGGAGATCAAACTCAGGACCTTGTGCTTGCAAGGCAGGCGCTGGAACCACTGAGCTAAATCCCGAGCCCTAGAAGCAGTATTTTGAGATGGGTTAATGGCAATGTGTCTTTTACTGTGATACATTTTTAAAATTTAAACATTCACCATATATTTCGGGCACTCTGTATATATAATTTCCAGAAGTTACTAGCATTACAGCAACAAAGGAGAGAGACAAGAGTATAGTGCCTCTAGATAAGGCAGTCTCAGAGAAAGATGGGTAAGACTAGAGAGGAAACAAAGCCTTTCAGGCAGAAGAACGGAGCTCCAGGGCCAGGCTTGGCATACTTGAAGAGCAGCGAGACCACAGGCATCGCAGGAACTGAGTGTATGAGGGTTACAGACAGGAGTGCAAGTTGGAATTGTGGGCACGGCCTGATCACCCAAGCTTTGCAGGCCTGGATTTTTCCCCCTCCAGTACTAGGGATGAACCCAGGGCTTTGCACATGCTAGGCCAGTGCTCTGCCACTGAGCTACATCCCCAGGCCCTTTTACATTTTATTTTGAGGCAGGATCTTAGTAAATTGCCCACGCTGAACTCAAGTCTGTAGTGCTCTGCCTCAGCCTCCTGAGTAGCTGGAATTAGAGGCATGCAGAACTGTGCCTTAGCTAGACAGGCCTTGGGTTTTATCCCAGGTGCCAGGAGCTCCTGAGCCCAGGTAACTAGAAGACCTGCCACTCTGGTTTGTCAGTGGCCCAGACTTCTCCCAAGTGAGATGGCCCTATATCTAGGGGCCCTGGAAACCTCATGGATTCTCTTCCAAGCCACACATGAGGTGTAACTCTCCAAAATTAGACATGGACACTGCTTTGGAAAATCTCTTTAATCAATCTGTCATCAGCCACCCCACCCCCACCCCCCACCTGCCCTTTGCCCTATCCCAAGTAGCATTGACGGGAATGTGAACAAATAAGATCCTGTGATTAGGAGCAGTTTCGAGTCAGTCACTGGGCTCTGCAATCTCTTTGATTCTTAATTTTCTCATCCATAAAATGGACCTATCTGAATCTCTCATAAGATCTCTCACAGGATAAACAGACACAAAATAAATGGCAATTGCTATTATTACTATTACCTATGATTAATTCATTTAGAAAATACATATTGCATGATTATTATCAAACCAGCACTGTGCTACACTGAGAAGTGTAGAAATGGCATGCATGTCCCTGACTTCATTGGGAAATTCAGGGGAAACCACATGCAGGACAGCACAGGAGACTAGGCAGGGGCAGACAAGGGACCAAGGAAGCACGGGGGAAACTGTCAGACTTAGGATCTCAGGGTGGCTTCCTGGAGTAAGTGCCCTGACTTGGTGGAGTGAGCCT